AACGCGATATGATTTGTGCTGATCACATTCTACCCTGAGGTCTTACAAAAATTATTGTGCTTTCTGCTTGGAAATGGCGCCTAACGATGCACACCCCAGTTCTTCCACGACCGGGATCCGTGGTAGTCCATGGTAAAAAAAATGCCCGTTTTGATTGTCCAAGTTTAAGGTGGCATTTCTCATAAACTGCCACGAAATATCATTAAACATTAACATGGCTGAAGAGTGTAAGAAATGGTGATTTTAGGGTAAAAATTTCTTTTGGCTCTGAACCTTACGTAAAAAGGTTGAAGAAACCAAACTCAGCTGGTCTTGTAGCTGAAGAGATATCCTTTCGTCCCATACAGTTATTCTCCTTTCGAATTATTCCTCGGCAGAGACGGTTGCTAGATTTGAGGTTGTGCAGCTTACAATAGAAACGCCAAATAAACTGGGGTGTGCCCCCCGAAGATGCTCTGTCAGGATAAAGAAACTTGATACGATACTAAGGGGTAGTCTGCTGATGCTGCACCCTCCTATGAATCTGACAAAAGATCCTTGGGCTGTTTTGAGGTTGATGCCCTAGAAACTGACACTTGAAGATACCCCTCATTCGCTAGGGGTGGCCCGAAGACAATGCTTAATCCGTATTAATATGGCTTTAAAAATTTGTAATTGTTGACCCATAAACTCTGCTCTTCACCTGTGTGAACAAATTTGACCCCCTCGGGAACCCAACAAGTTTAGTACATTCAAGTGCTGAAGATGTCATAGACATGCGTGGGGTCGTGTGGCGCAGCGGTAGCGCTTTCGGCTCAGGACCTAGAGGCCCTGGGTTCGATTCCCACCCATGTCACCGATCTTGTGCCCTTGGGAAAGGCACTTTACATGACTTTCCTCACTTCACTCAGGTGTAAATGATTACCTAGCCTCGGTTAGGGACATCCCTTGGATAGGACGTTAAATGGAGGTCCCGTGTTTGGGGAGAGCCATACCCCGCGCACGTAAAAGAACCCACCACACCTTTCGAAAAAGAGTAGGGGCATGCCCCGGTGTGTGCGATGGTGCACAATTCTACTGTCTGGGAGTTGGTGATTCACTACAAATCACCCGGATGGAGGCCTGGTGAACCCCATCTCGTACTAGCCACAAAAGGCAGCAGAATCTTCAGCTAGTTGAAGGCGGCTGCCTCAAATGAAAGAAGAAGAAGAAGACAAAGTGTGATAATCGATACACGTTTTCCTGACATAAGTGATAGTTACATGTCCTCATACATTTGTACTTCTTTCTGGCCATTGTGGAGTTGGTTACACCTGCTCCTGATGTATTTCACCCATAGAAAACAAATTCTGACATGCAGACAAGGTTTAAAAGTGCCACAGTTATGGGGTCAATGCCATTTCTACCTCACTGCCTACATGTAGCTTTACATGTCGGTATTATTATCCGAGTGTGGAAATTGTGAAACAGCTACATGTTGTGTACTGTCCTGCTGAGATACTGCTCTTTATGTCATACCTGGGCCGTGATAACGTTCAATACGGGTGTTTTGGCCTTTCGACCTTTTAGCTGATTCAGTTAGGAGCGTTGGATTGTAAGCTGGCGCCCGGGGCAGTGGGTTCGAACCCCGGCCCGGGACCAGAAGGGTTTTTATCTGTTTCTACTTGCTCCTCCTGTTTCCTACAACAATAAGAAAGTTGTTTAAGTGGATAGCCGTGTGTTAGGTTGGGAGTAATACTTCATCTTAAGCAGTCAGATAGCGGTGCATAGCTCAATTGGTAAAGTGCTCGCTTTGTAACCGGGAGGTCGTGAGTTCAAACCCTGGCCGGGTCATACCAAAGACTTAAAAAATGGTACACACTTCTTTTCTGCTTAGCACTCAGCACATATGAGAAAGAGTGTGGGAAGGTCAAACACACAAGACTACCAGCAGCGGACCAGCCCCCTGCTGTAGTGCATTGCACAACTGTGTGTCGCCCAAGGGCTACAGAAATGGAGATGGGCACCACCCTACGCTCTGCATAAGAGCATGGGAGACCTTCTTTCTTTCAAGCAGATAAATCTCAGGTACAGGGTTTTAAGGAAAGGATGTGGCAGCCACAAGGGGCAAGGACAAGGCAGGATCTTGTGTTTGGGGAGAAGGTATCAAGTTCCTTGATACCCTGTGGGCAAAATTTGTGCTAGGAGTCAGCACAAAACCCCCCTTCTCACAAGATTAGAAGGTCAAAGAGAGAGGAAAGTTGGTAGCACTGAAGACCTTGTACCTTGCCCCCATATTTCTGCCACAAAGAGAGTAAACTGTTGTATTGTGTGTTTTCTTGTGTCTGTCTAATACATATAGAATACAACACGGCATATTCTGTATCGCCCAAGGTATCGGCCTGACCGTGGGTCGCGGGAGGGCTGGGATCGAGGGTGATGCGGAATACACCGTGTTGTATTTTATTTATGTATCGTACATGTATGTTATATGTAAATATGTTTTAATTATGTTTAACCGAATTGTAATGTGCCTCATTCAGCCGTTCTGTCTGCAATGTTTGTGATAACGTTATTGAAATAGACCGTTGATAAATATCGTTTAGGCCACGCCAATTTAATTTCTTGGTTAACGGATTTTTCTAGAAAAATAATGGAGCGGGCGGGCGGGCGAAAAAAATACAGGCCTAGGCATCCTATTATGGCCCAAAATGGTACGATAGGAGCCATGAAGTCAACACACCAGGCTGTGTCAAAATTTAAACAATGAATTTTGAACTTTTAATGATACCATGGCATTGAAAGATGGAATGACTGTAACAAATAGGAAGAACTGTTTTCAACTGTTCAGGGCAAAATATGAGCATTTTGCAATTGATTCTGAATTTTTTTTTTTGCAAATCAGAAAAAAATTGAAGCAGGTGAATCCGTTAACCAAGAAATTAAATTGCTGTGGCCTTAGGGATATGTGAAGCTGGGCAAACGTTGATGAAACCAAATAATGCTAGAAATTGGTGTAACCTACATGTATCAATTACACAAAGATTTCGTTATCCGGAAATTAATTTCCTGTTTTTCTGCAAAAAATATTTAAATGAAATGAAATACCTTTATTCATGCCACGACATGGCATGAGGCTAGGTACAGGTCAAGACTTAACAGACACATAACAAACGTATGGAGAAAAGTGGAGACAAAAGATACACTATTTGACTTAGACATTATATACATTAAGGAACATACAATAATTATGGTACTATACTAGGCTAATTAGTACAAAGTGTTCTATTTACTGAGCGAATACAGAGTGGTCAACTTCTCGTTTTTTTGTACAATGGAAAATGTGGGAACAGATCATGTTTGTGATACAGGGTTTGTCTAGATGCATCAAAAATATAGATCTATCATTTGCTTAGGTGATCAAAGTATGGGAACTTCTCTTTGATATGATTAAATAGGACATTGCACCGAGCCCATTTAAGAAGATAAGTGGTTGCAGGGCTGTTGTAACTCTTCATCATCTAAATCATAGGTACATTATCCTATTAAAGGCTAACACCTACGTGAAATGAGAAAGGTCACAATCCTTAACATCTTACAGTTGTTGACCTCCAAAGGGAGCAGAGGGATCTAGAGACTCTAGCAGTGCAACACCAAAGAAAGCAGTTCTTGGTAAGGTGTTTGGATGCTTTGATCACATACGTTGACAGAAGCTTTGATACCATACCTCCCTTTTTCCCCAAAACTTAAGACACATAAAGTGTCTACTCAATGGAATGGAATTGGGATTTATCGGAGAAGTGAATTGTGTACTTAAATCACTGTTGAAAGCTGTTTGAAAGTTGTCAACATGAGGTTGAAACTAATGTGTGCAAATTTTTAAAGCTATTACACCACAGCAAGTAATTTTTATGGATGACATCAGCGCGCGCATTGATTTTCACCTGATTTTGGAAAAAAAAAATAATCTTTTTGCCCCCTGACAGTGGACAACATGCCAAAAATGGGTAAATATGTCTGTTGCCATGCTGGAACTTTCACAGATAAATGTGAAGAGAGGAGACAAGACAAGGCTTTGATTTGTCCTTTACTTTTACTTTGTTGCAGTATTGTATTTCATTCCATTATATGTGATGTTGCCACTGAATACAAAAAATCTGGTTTATGAATGATCTCAAAATTTTGTTTTCGCCCGCTCGCATTAGATTTGGAGTCTGCGGAGAATGTCATCCACAAAATTTACTTGCTGTGGCCTTTAAACTGCAATCCTACATGACATTGTAATAATAATTATATATTGTGTTATAATTACCACACATGATCACACGCACTTCTACATGCGTTTCACACGAGAAAAGGTTGTGATGTGAACAAGAATTGCAGTCGGCTTTTGCACTCAGAAATGCACAGCTTTGTGTTTTGCAAGACTTTTCTCCGCAATTTGCACATTATGCATTACCGGTATATTGGCACTTTCAAGTTACATGTATTCGAGATCTGTACTGTGCTATGTATGGAATACGTTGCCGTATCCGTGCAGTTTATAGTGTGAAAAGATTTAAACAAAAGAATGGACACACGGTCACACACCAGAAAGAAAATGACCAGAAAGTGATTTTATGTGAACTTTATTCCAACTGTTACACACAGTTTACAGAGAGATCAAATTTTCAGCAAGTGAACCACTGTCGCCTCATCAGGATAATTAATGACCAATCACTTTACAACGTGATCTCGCGAGAGTTACGGTTACAAACACGTGACCTTATTTACATGAGACTTTACTGATACCTGATGTAAGCAATTGATCACAAGTGCCAGGGACTTTATATCGTCCACCATCTCTATTAAGTGAAGGCTGAATTGGTGGTCATTAATTGATGAAGGCGACATGCAGTGGTTGCTTAAAATTTGATCTCTGTAAACTGTATGTTGGAATAAAGTTTAACGTTTTACTATGATTACTACCAACACAGATGAACTTTCATGATGACATTAGAAGTGATTTTAGTTCAACTTTGGGTTGTTTTTCTGTAGAAAACCTACTTGTCTGTGTTGAAGCTAGCTGTTGTACAGAGAAGACTGAAAGACATGAAGAACAACCTGGCAAGAGAAACGGCCAACAGAAAGGTTGGTTAACCTGAGGGATCAATATCTGGGTGCATAATGCACTTTTGAGCACCTTAAATTGGAGCTTTTATTGACTGTGGGTACACTGGTGCTAGTCAACGTGACTGTATAGCGACAATAAAACGTAAACTTAAACCAGGATGGTCCACAGGCTATCATGATCACCGGTGTACATGTAGCTAGACAATATATACTGATACTAGTAATAGCCGTTAGTACCTAAAATTAAAAAGCATCTGCCGGATACAGTGGTGCAAGCCAAGTGGGCATGGTTTTAGGGGAGGGGGGGCATTCTTAAAATTCAGGTAGCACACTGGGCTATCTAGGTTCAAAAATAGGTTGCCCCAAGTAAAATTTGGTAGCCTATAGGGCAACTGGGCAACCAGGTATTTTGAATGCTGGGTAACATATGGTAAGGTTGTAGTCACACCAGTGCACCAAAGAATGAATTTCGAGTCCAGGGTGTCAACATTGAACATTGTTGTGTGCGAATTGTTTGCAATTAAAGGTTCTATATGTTTTTGTTAAGAAGCTTATGTCATGTAGTACAAAAAAGTAGGACAAAAAAAGAACATGATCAGCATAATCTTGCCCATGTCATTGTGTCTGTTACCTACAAGACTCTGAGTGGGTCATTTTTGATACAATAAATTCTACAAGCTTAGGGTTTTTACTACAACTGTTACAGCAGAATTTTGGAGGAATGGAACTATTTGTGAATTATTGTGTTGAAATCTACTTTATTTTGCAGTTGACCAAGGGGGTTTGGGAGATGTGGGTAAAGAAATGTGAACACAGAGAAGAACTCAAACTACTTCCTGTAACAAGAAGAGCCAGACATCACCACAGGTGAGTATACAGAATATATATACAACTTCTAGCATTGCTTGTAGGGCTCAAAATACTCAGGCCACACGGACTTAATTTTATGGATGACATCCGCATGCGCATTGATTTTTGCCTGTTTGCCTGGCTCTAGGCCTGGGTAGTCCATGATAGTTAGCAACAATACGGAGCCGTTGGTAACCTTGGGTCCTTGGAGGATGGTACCGATGGCAACAAAGCTCCACGACGCAAGAACTCACTACATACATTTGTATGCATTTACGTACAGTGCCAATTCATAAATTCCGCAAAAAGCCGGCATGTGCCGGCTTGTCATATACGTCGCTATGTACTGCTGGAAATTCACAATGCCAGCTTTGTATTCCTGTGGTTTAGTAGCATTTTTATTTTTGGCTGGAAATTTTTTTTTTAATTTGCCCGCTCTAGTTTGGGGTCTTCAGAGGATGTCATCCATAAAATTAATTCGGTGTGGCCTAACTCTGGTAACATTGCACCAAATTGCACTAATAAAATAACCTGCACCAGACAAGTTTTACCTGCACCACATGTAGAATTTCAGAAGTATGGATTATAACTGTGTTGTAGTTTATACTGTCTAAGAACTGTTAAAGTTTGTATGACACCAAAATACGACATTTTCTTATCATAAAACCTCAAACCACATTTTCTTAGCATAAAACCTCAAACCATAAAGAATCAATATACTTAGATATGTTGAGTAAGTGGCTGTTTTGTTTTTATATTGACAGGCAAGTCAAGTTGAAGAAAACCTGGACCATCTGGACAGCATATGTTCAGTGGAGAAGGCACAGGGAGGTAAGAAAAGTTCCTTATTCACTTGATAGCACTGTACAAAACTATGTATTATTATTGTCTACCTCCCACTTCTACCAAAGTTGAAAATATAGGTGCATACATGTATAATGCTATCTCTAGTGCTGTGTACCAGTTCGCTGGACTGGTTTGGGTCTTGTAAAATGTTTAGGTTCAAGTAGAAAAAAACCTTTAAGGCATGAACCAGTTCCAGACTTATTAAAAAAGAAACATGTCACATGTGACAGGACTTCCATTTAGCATCCTATCCGAGGGACGTCCCTAACCGAAGCTAGGTACTCATTTCCACCTGAGTGAAGTAAGGAAAGTCGTGTAAAGTGCCTTTTCCAAGGGCACAAGATCGGTGGCATGGGTAGGATTCGAACCCGAGACCTCTTGGTCCTAAGCAAAACCAAAACACGCTTACCGCTATGCCACGCGACCCCACATTGCTCATATTACTCTTTACAAAGTATATTTTGGCTGTGCAAACAGGCCTTTATAATGATCAGTCCTCCTTTCCTAGAAAAAAAAAATGCTATAATAGGACCACATTAAGAAAACCTTTTTTGGCATCACTATCCTTTGATATAGAAATTAAATTACATAAGCCTTAGGTTAAAAACAAGTCCAGAGAACATTTTAAATTGTGCCATGGATGACTAGTGGACACAAATGAACATTTTCCCTAGAGAAGGAGATATACAAGCAAACTGCAGCAGATTTTTCTATCCTGTCCTTGGTGCTGAAGTCACCATCATTTTGAGCAATAGTGTTATCAACTGTGGCATTTTGTGATATAAATAAAATAAATCATCAAGAAAGAAAGCATTGCATTCATACATGTAGCTACTAGACACAAATTACACACCTGGTTTTCTTTATTGCACAATCATATACATAATGATTGTATTATTTTCTACACCACCCCCAGTGGAGTGGAGTGGATTGTTTTTGCATGTTTGTAGGGCATTGATATTAACATAATTTATGCAAGTTTACTGATCAGTACCAAAATTGATTCTGAACTTTATATAAAACAGATTTTTTAAAATGATTTTTGTATCAGGCAATAACAATATTATTTATTAAATGTATGGTCTGAATAATTACAAACAAATACAAATTAAAACATAAATTTAATTCAATCATCCCACAGGAAAAAATAAGATTTTCTCCTTGCAATCCTGTCCTTGGTGCTGAAACCACTATCATATGCACACAGGCATATAAAATACTTCCTGCATAAAATGCAATTAAAAACGGGTTTGTGCACCTGTGAAACTAGGGATGTACACATATTTCTGATGTCTACCTGCACCTACTTGGTACATTTTTGTATTAAATTTTTAATGATCCAAGACTTATAACACCTAAATGACTAAAAAACCTACTAATAAGTCCTTTATGTTGTACAATGTGCAACTACTACTTACTGACACTGTATACAATATAATGTTTGGTGACATATGCAGTACATGACAGTTGTCACACTAACAAAAAATTGCTCTATTTCAATGTGTACAATAATTGTAACAATGGAAAACTTAATTGACATATTCCCTTCTTACAAATTTTTGCAAACATATTAACAGTGTTCATGTTATCAATACAATTTTAACTTCTTTCATTATATGATAGCAATTTGAAATTTTAAAACCTGTTCCATGTGAATTTGTCAAACAGTGTAAGGACCATTTAGTATAACACACCAGCTAACAATCTCTAGTGATCTAGCTTATACATTATTATACAGTTTAACAAAGTAAAACCTGCATGATGTTCAATGTTAGAAAAAAACTGATTGTATGTCAACGTTTTGTCACTCAGGTGTCAGATCATGGAGTTAGAATACATGTAGCTCAATCAGCTTGAAAAATTTATGTCCCTTGCAGGGCCTAGGGGTTCACTCCAAAAAAAGGCTAGGGTCAGCAGTTTTTTCTAGGGTCGGTTGACAATCAGAAAACACATCATTTTTTCCCCTAGGCCCTATCAAGCTGTGCACATGCATGTACATGTATTATCCATGACATGGATATAGGTGTAATTTATAGAAGTTGTGCACATGTATAATCTTCATAATTGATAAGCAATCATTAAGATTTCTGTGTCAGGGGGTAGCGGCAGAGCAGGTTACCAGTAATAAGAGCAGAAGCTGCTGGCTCGTTTGCATACACAGCTGCAGCACCTGCAGCTTCACCTGTAGCTGCACCTGTGTTGAGAGAGAGGGAAGCAAGGGATGCTTGTCATCAAGAGAAGTTAGGTTATTGTCAGGGGTTGGTAGTAGGGCAAGTTGTCAAGAGCAGCTGCTGGCTCATTTGCATACACATGCAGCTGCAACACCTGCAGCAGCACCTGTATGAGTCGACAGAGGGTGAGGGATGCTTGTCATCAGGAGTTAGGTTTTTGTCAGGGGTTGGTAGTAGGGCAAGTTGTCAAGAGCAGCTGCTGGCTCATTTGCATACACATGCAGCTACAACACCTGCAGCAGCACCTGTATGAGTCGACAGAGGGTGAGGGATGCTTGTCATCAGGAGTTAGGTTTTTGTCAGGGGTTGGTAGTAGGGCAAGTTGTCAAGAGCAGCTGCTGGCTAGTTTGCATACACATACACGTACACACATACACGTACAGCTGCAGCACCTGCAGCAGCACCTGTATGTGTCGAGAGAGGGTGAGGGATGCTTGTCATCAGGAGTTAGGTTTTTGTCAGGGGTTGCGTTGGTAGTAGGGCAAATGGTCAAGAGCAGCTGCTGACTCATTTGCATACACAGCTGCAGCACCTGCAGCAGCACCAAGGACAACAGTACCCGCAACTGCACCAAGAACAGAGCCAAGGAGAACTGGGAGGGAGAAACTTGGACCAGATCCATGGTTACTGTTGCTTTCAGGTTTGTCTGTGATATTCTGTGGTGTCATTGTTACAGTAGTAGAGGGCATGTTTTGTTGGACACCCACCGACAGTGTTTGAAATGTTGAGCCAACTGGACTTGCTGCAATACAGATGTACAGACCAGCGTCTACTGCTGCTGTAACATCTGTAATGGTTATGGTACCGTTATCTGTCACAGTCACCCTCCCACCTGACTCTACAGTTACATTCAGTCCAGATGGGAGAATGACCGTGACGTCTGGTTTTGGGATGCCCGAAGCTTCACAGACCAAATGGAGTGTCTCCCCCTCTACCACTAAGTTGTTATAAACCTTCTCGAACCTGACAATCGTGGGATCTTCACATGTCAGGTCTTCAGGATTGAGATCTTTCAGAAGCTGGCCAGAGTTTCGTGGATTAGTACAGGTGATCTGGTTTTGGAAAGAAGGGGATCCAGTCATTTACAACCTGAAACCAACCATCCTACAGTCACACTGCCAGGGGTTGTTACTGATGTATACGTAAGTGATTGATATCAGCTTGTCATAGGCTGCGGAGGAAAGTGTTGTCATCTGGTTGTTTTCAAGGACAAGTCGAGAAATTGAGGAAATCTTGGACAATGCCACAATAGGAAAAGTTTTCAAGTTGTTGCCAGACAGTTTCAAGTACGAGAGACTTGCTATTCCTGTGAATGTGTTTGGATAGATCTGTAATTTGGCATTGTTCTGCAGCTGTAGATGGCTGAGACTGGACAGACCATAGAACAGATAGTCTGGAAGCTCAGTCAGATAATTGTTATAGAGATACAGAGTATGTAATTGAGTAAGTCCTTGAAAAGCCGTCAATGAAACTGCTGAGATTTTGTTTGTGTCGAGGCGGAGTTCGTTCAGTTTGGGCTGGTTGGAAAATGCATTGGCAGGAATGTCTGTGATGTTGTTGTTGTGCAGATACAGTTGAGTTAGCTCAGGAAACTGATATTGTATGGTGGGAATGCTGGTTAGTTGATTATATTGTAGTTGAAGTTCCCAAAGTTGTGGCAAGTTTGAAAATGCATCAGACTGAATGTGTGTTATCTGGTTAAAGCGCAGGTACAATCGTTGAAGTTGTGGCAAGTTTGAAAATGCACCGGACTGAATGTGTGTTATCTGATTTGAGTGCAGGAACAACTGTTGTAGCTGTGGTAGGTTGGCAAAAGCAGAATTTGGGATGTTGCTGATCTCATTGCCTTGGAGACGAAGGTCATATAGTCCCTGCAGATTGGTGAAAGTGTTAGGTGGGATTATTTTCACGTGATTGCTATAGAGATACACTACCAAAAATGATTTTTCTTGTTTTTCTTGTTTTTCTTAATTCGTGGACAAATTTTCTTATATGAAGAAATTTCAAGAAAAATTAAGAATAAATAAGAAAAGAGCAACAGATCGTTCTAATTTTTTTTTCTTGTAAATTTTCACTACAAGAAACATTTTCTTATTTTTTTTTACGTGAAGAAATAATTTCTAGCAATGATTTTCTCCCCCTAGAATGTTCTAGAAAATTGAGTTAAATGGTCTTGTTTTTCTTGTCAGAAGAATTACTTTCTTGCCATGGTTAAGAAAATACAAGAATTTTTCCCTTAAGTTTCTTGTATTTCTCATAGTAAGAAAAACAAGAAAAGCAAGGTTTAAAAAATAAGTCATAACTAGAATAACATTCTTGAATTTTCTTGTTTTTCATATCAAGAAACTTTGAGAAAGGAAGTTCTTGCTTTTCTTGGGCCGTGTCAGAAAACAAGAATTTTGATCTAACCTTTCTTGAGATATATT